CGGAGTATGGACTGCTTTTACCTTTGGACCACCACATGCTCCATGCTATGCTTTCATTCTCTACATGAAAATATTACAAGATTCTGGATAGTCGCGTTCAAAATTGTTGTTTGACTCTAACAACTCACCTTACCATCGTTAAATATTTTTTTTAAATTAAGTTTTCTTTTTCCCTGGAAGACTTTCAAATCAGTATTCCATGGAAGAAAAGGCCAACCCTTGTCTAAGCTTGTTCCTTGCTGTATCAACAATGTTGACGACAACGTAGCCATCATCCAGTCAAGTAAAATATGACGTCTTTGTGTCTATTAGACACACCCCTTCTAGTTTTAGATCCAGTACATGTAGGTCCATGAAATTTTAACAGTCAGCGTAAGCACAGTTGTAGTCGAGACCACTTAAGACCTTCACAAGACCACACAAGACTAGCACAAGACCAACACAAGGCCTCCAGTCTGAAGTCAAGCCACAAGCTATTCAAATGAACAGCAACAAAAGCATTCCTTTGTCATTGTTCACACTGTTGCTTGTGCATGGTCTTGTGATGGTCTTGTGTCTCGTCTTGTGTCTGGTCTTGTGTCTGGTCTTGTGATGGTCTCGACTACAACACTGAGCGTAAGCACAGTTGTGTACAAGTGGTGATTAACATGAAAAAAAATCATAATAACCTGAGAAAAACTGTTTGATACATGTAGACAAATTTGAAAGAGAAGTCCAGTATTTGTAAATATTAAGGACAGTATACGAAAATGAAAAATGTTTCCGTAAAGTTTCTGCCAATTTCAGAGAATTTTCGCCAAAAAAAAGACGAATTTCTCCTGTTTTGGTGGCTACATTGGCTATCAAATGGACCAAAAGATCTTTCAAAATAGTCGGGTATGTTTAGGTCTGTGAAAATATAGAATTGCTCACCCTCCTTCCTTGAATTTGGACAAGGGATCAACCTTGGCCCCACTCTCTGCCTCCTGCTTCCTCCCCTTGGTCTTTTTAGCAGTGACTGCTGTCTCCAGCTGCTTGATCATGGCCCGAGCATCAGCTTTGAAGTTGGGCTTGGGCTTTCTGAAGTGGCTGCTGTCCATCCACGAGGCAGGCTCGGGCTTGGGCAGCTTCTGCAAGTTACCATGGAGATTGCTCATGAGGTGTCAAGATTAATGAACACAATGATTACAATTTATCCGCCCAAATTACTGCAATGTTACCAAGACTTCATCAGGTTTCCTTGGCAATTTTTGTTTCTGTTTTGCGTAAAGGCCACCATACAAATGTGGGTAATCTCAGGGAATTCTGCTGTGCCCATGTATTAGTTTTCCACCTCAGCAAAGACTTGAGGGGATAAAACCACAACCTTTATATGGGAAATGTAAATGGTAATGTTTTATCTCTTTACAACAGCAAAGAGGTGCACATACGATATGCCAGGTCAGCTGTATAAGGGCTCTTGTCCTTGCATCTAACTTTCACCTGAATGTGCACAAGCCTAGAATCTCTGTGCATAGTGCATCTGAGTACCAGCAAAACATAAAGATAGCACTCACTGGTCTTCATCAACTGTAATGCTCTGCATTTCCAATGCCAAAGCTGCACTTTGCCCCAATTGATGATATTAAAGTTATGACAATGTGAAAAATATTAAAACAGCATGGCTCTGAAGAAACTCCAATGTCAAAATGTACATGGTACTGTTGATTACTGCTCTGCTCGAGAAATTTCTAATTCACACCTCACCAGAGGCCTTTCAAATAAGGAACAGACCAGATGTGGGCTAGGACTAGGAGAGCTCACCCATTTGGCATCTTTGACCTTCATGAGTCGTTGCAGTGTTGCGGCCATTTTTATTGAGCGGACCTCCATGGCATAATCCAACGGTGTTTTTCCCCGCTTGTCCCGCACTGTGACCTTGGCGCCCAGTCGGAACAGTAAGTCCAGCATGACTGTGTTCTCATGTGTGCCGTAGGAGCGTGTCTTGACCAAGTGGTGGACGGCTGTGCGGCCGGCCAGGTCGGCTGCATTCAGGTCAACTTTGGAGGTTTCCAAAAACCTCTTGACGGCATTCTGTCTCTTTTCTTCCTCCAACCGCTCTTTCTTTTCTGTGGGGAGGGAGATAGGAACACAAGGACAGAACTGGATAATTAATGACGATCCCTTCAATTCTAAACAGCCTGAACGCACAAAAAATGTATCAGGAAAAATTTCTGGGAAATAGCTGGCAGTAGGTCAAACCAATGACTCTCTAGATTTTTCCACAGATTTCAATGTTTACACTTCACATATCCATATCCTGTACTAAGAATATCTCTCGGTATATCGGTGAGCTTTAAAGCATCTAAAGAAATTATTCGTGGAGTTTCTGTAGTGCACTTTCACATGTGTTGGCCCATGCACTGTTACACGGCAAAAGTTCACATCTTCGTCCAACCGTTCTTGGAAAAGTTGGCATTTTTCGAGACCGGCATATTCATTTTCCATATTAAACACTGGAGTCAAAGTGACTGCAACACATAAATGAAAAAAGAGTGAATGTACAGCAAGACAACAGTTTTTCCCAAAGTACTCCCTATGCTTGCCTCTTGGCAGGGGCATCACCAAGATTGGTTTCTGGTGGGGGGGGTGTTAGGAAGGGCAGAGCACTAATCAGCAGCCACCTGACCAACCATTTATGGTGGAAGGGGGTCAATTTTACACTTTTCATAAATTTTTTTCCCGGGGGTCG